GCTACACCCCTCATTTCCTCACCACCTCCCATTTTAACCTAGAAAATACTTCCAGGCCATTTCACTGGCTGAGACGGGTCCGGCCCGGGTCTAGCAAGAGGTGTGTGTCTACAAGCCTGGCCAAGACACTCTGTGACCAAGACCCTTCATGATGGGGCTCACTGTGGTCTGGGCTTCCTGGGAGCAGAGCACTCCTGCTTCGGCGACACTGCCCCCGCTGCTGCCCCCACGTGGGCCTCAGTTCACAGGGGCAAACATTCCTTTTCCAAAAGATCCACAAAGTAATGAAGGGCTAAACCCTGTACCGCCTACAAGCCTGGGATGGGCTCCAGGCTTCCCCCTCAGCCCATGGGGCCCTGTGTGGACCCACATCGCCCTCACAGCAGGCCAGGACCCCTGCACTGCTGGTGCCTCCGTCCTCACACATCCCTGGGTGGACCTCAGGGGCAGTGGCACCCAGGACTCAGCCAGGGCATGGGAAGCAGGGGGGCGCCCAGAACAGTGCCGACTCCGTCTTTAACACACACAATGTGGTCCTCACACCCCTGGACACAAAAAAGGGCTAGAAAAAGTCACCCACAAGGCGTTCCAGGACCAACCTGAGACCCTGGAGGTGTCCACCCTGTCTCTGCACTGGCCCCCTTTTGAGCCGAGCTCAGCGAAATCCAGGGCGTGTCTCCACCCCCCAGGTCAGAGGTCATGGCCGCAGAGAGGCCTTCAGAGAGAGGCAGGGCAGCCGGGGGGCCTGGGCCTGCTGTCCGGACCAGTAGCCTGGCTCCATGCTCCGCACTTGCTTCTTTACTGATTAGCCTGGAAAGCGCCAGCAGCTGCTGGCCTCGGCGCAGCCTCCCCGACATAAAATATTCATCAAGAAAAACTCCAAACAGCACCGCTGCCTTCCGTGTCAGCCAGGCCCTGGGGATGGAAGCTAAAAATAGGCAGGAGGTAGAAGAATTGCTGACAACGGGGGGCGGGGAGGGGAGGAGGGCCGAGTGCCCCCCATGGGCACAGGCACGCTGGCGGCGGGGAGCCCATGTGTGCTTCGGGGGGACAGATGGTGTCACACGGGCGTCCTCAAGGGAGTCTATGCGCAGGATGAGCCAAAAACCTCTCTGGGGAGCTGCCCACCCTCCCTGCCAGAGGCTGGGCCCCAGGCCACCTCCATGAAGAATCAAAGACCATCTTTAATTAGCAAGCCGGAACAGCCTGGATCAGCTGCAGCCGGCCGTGGTCGCTAACGGCCAGCCCTCAAACCTAGGGATTCAGCCAGTGTCCCCTTCATTCAGGCGGGTGTCTTGCCCCACCTGCTGGGCACCAGCACCCCTTCCTCTGGGCTGGCCCTCTACCCGTGGCCCACAACAGGGGTTTCTAGAAAGAGGACAGGCACATAGACTGGCCCAGACCCAGGACTGCTTTCTGCCTCTGTGAAGGTCATGGGTACCCGCACTAAGGGCTCCTGGCCCGCAGGCACTGTCCACAGGAGGCCGGACCCCCGGGCTCCTGGCCCGCAGGCACTGTCCACAGGAGGCCGGACCCCCGGCTCCTGGCCCGCAGGCACTGTCCACAGGAGGCCGGACCCCCGGGGTGCATGATGGCCGGGGGCAGCCCACAGCAGCTGCTGGGCTCCTGGGCGGGCGAGCCTACAGCTCAGCTACGGCGAGCACTTTGGACCTGGCCAGAAGACCCTATCAGTTTACAGTTACTCAGAACGAGCCTTTGCGAAATGAAGACGGTCTGACTCCTCGGCTGTGCTTACTCTCGTACCCACGTGGGGAGCCCTGTAGGCCGCTGAGCCCCCTCAGCTGACAGCAGAGGAAAGGCCCCGTGTGGTCAGGAGGCTGGGTCCCGGGGCTGGGCCTGGCCAGGATCAGCGGGGTGGCCTCTGGTGTGTTCTTGCCCCTCTTCTCCCCTTTCAGGCGGCCAGCTCCAGCCCCAGACCTCCGAGTCCCTGGTTCCTCCGACCCAGATAGTCTCTGGGAAATGGCTCCCCTGCCCCCAACACCAGGCCCCACTCGAGCCAGCGGTCTGTGCGGTCCTCCTCGAAGGAACCTCCTTAGGCAGCAACAACTCTCCCAGGGGTGCCGATCCCCACCTCCTGCTTCTTCCCTCAGGACTCTCCCCAGCGTCTCACACGGTCCCTTGCCCCACTTGCTTACTGGCTCCCTCCAGGAGGGCGTCAGCTCCAGCGGGAGGGCTCCCCAAAGCACAGCAAACAGCAGCGGACGAGTGTGGCGCTCCCAGACACGTAAAGTAGCCCACAGAGCCCTCACCACCCTTCGCAGCAGGCACTACACTAGGGCTGTCCCCGTGGTACAGATGAGGAAACAGAGGCACACCCAAGAAGAGTGAGCCTGGGACCACAGTCGTGCACCAGCGCCCTGACCAGACCGCAGGCAGCAGACGACAGCGTGTGTGCGTGTGACAGTGGGGGTTGTGTTAGGATCAGAGCCCCTGGGGTGCTCAGGGACATGCAGTTGCCGACTGTCCAGCAGCAGGACACTGGGCAGTGTGGGGGAGGCATGTGGCTGGAGAGGCCAGCAAGCCCATCAGCCACCCACGGGCATTTTTCTGAGCCCCACTCTGTGCCGGGTATCCTGGAATCACATGATGGGCCGGATGTACCAGAGGATCGGAGATGGTGCTGGCTGCCGGGAGATGATATGGGGACGGAGTCGCTGGGCAGTGGTAGGAGTCAGGCTTTATTTATCTCCAGTGTGGAGGGAAGATCATCTAAGGACGAGCTAGCTGAGAAACAGTGAAAGGACCTGGCTCCACAACAGTCTGAGGGAAGGCGTCCAGGCAGACAGACAGTGTGTGCAAAGGTCCTGAGGCAGGAACGAGTCTGGGACCTGAGGCCAGAGAAGCCAGTGTCACTGGACCCTGTGCTGAGGGCACAGAGGCTACTGAGCAGATCAGGCAGGAGAGGGAGAAAACCTGATTCAGTTTTAACAAGCTCCCTGGGCTCCAGTGTGGTGTCAGGTAGAGGGCAGCTGGCCTGGGGCCATACCAGTTGGGGCTGAGCAGTGACCCAGGCAGCCATGGGGCATAGGGACAGTGGGTGTGCGGGCTGAGCACGAGAGGGGAGAGAGGAGCCAGGCACGTTCCCAGGCTCACTGAGAGAGGGAACCCATGAGGACCAGTGGGATTTTCTGGGGAAAGACAACAAGTTCAACTCAGGACAAATCACGTTTGAGATGCGTGCTGGGACCCCACGGGGAGAGGCAGAGCTGGCAAAGCTGATCGGGGCCTGAACAGTGAATGCAGAACAAAGCTCATGGCATGAGGCCTGGACCCAACCAAGGAGGAGGGAAGGGCACAGCAGGCAGCCATCAGGGCCTGGTGTTTTGGGGGTCATGGATTGACCATCTGGACACTGCGGTCCTATGCCAAGGGAGCACAGGCTCCACCGAGGCCTGGGGCATCACGCCAGGCTGGTGAGGCAAAGGCACAGAGCGTGCTTGGATCGGGCCGCGCTGCTGGAGCCCAAAGGCCAACGAGAACAGGGAGCAAGTATTTGCCTGTGTGAGACAGAATTCAGCATTCGGGATGGGGCACTGTGACAATATGGAAGATGGGACAAGGGTCCAGGAGAGAAGTGGGGAAAGCCTGTGTTTGAGGACCACGAGAAGCAGGCGAGGTTCTGAGAAGTGGCCCAAGACCCAGCGACAGGTGGCCGCAAAGGTCAAGGCCTGGGGCGGTCAGGGGGAACAGACACACATCGGCCAAGGGGACAGGGTGGGGGCGGAGCCATGCTGCCAAGGCTGTGGGGCTGCAGGGCAGCGTATGGGAGGCACACCCCATCCTGGTCCTCACACTCAGGCAAGGCAGGTCGGAGGGCTGTGTGGGGCTCCCCACCTCGGGGGCGGCGGGGGGTACAGCTCTGACGGGGTCGCTGCGGGGCTGGGGGAAGGGGCACGTGGGAAAGAAGTGAGGTCTTCCCTGCGGCCTGTCTGTCGCAGGTTCTCGGTGCCTGCTCTCCTCCTGCTGGAGGCTCAGGCTCTCCCTGGGGGGCAGCAGCAGGGGCCACAAAGCGCCAGCTGCTTGAGAGAGGCGCCCCCGGCCCCAGCCACTCTGCCCGTTCCCCCTCACCCCAGGGAGGGCAGGGAGCTCTGACTGCAGGCCCAGGAGAGCTGCCTCTAGCGACAGGCTCGGGAGCAATCAGGAGCGGCCCGAGCCGCCCCAGCTCATGTGCTGAATCCGAACCTGGGCTCCCAGGATGGGGTGCACGACCCTCCACAGGGGCCTCGGCCTTGTTGACCTGAGGGGTCCTCGCCGGGTGACAGGCGAGCCAGCAGAACCGGGGTGGCTCTGGGGAGTGGCAAGCAGCAGGAGGCAGGCTGCTAGTGTCTGGACGTGGTCCAGGAGGGACACCTCTGCGACCGGCACTGGTAAGGGATGTGCGAGGCTTCCGGTAGAACCATCACTGGCCTCGAGGGAGACCTTAAGCAGCGAGCAGACACGCATACGTGCGTTCCTTCCGCAGTCCCCGAGTACCTTCCAGCCAAGCACCCTCCCCACCCACCCCCCCTTCCCCATCCCCACTCTGAACCTCGGCTGCCTCTGGCTCCCTGACTCTCCTCGACTCTCCCAACGTCCAGCACTTGTCAGGTTGCTGGGATTCCAGGTCTGGGACACTGCGGTGGCAGCAGCCACTGGGTCCCCAATGCCCAGCCCCATGCTGTTGGGGTCTGGCTCAGTCCCCATCAGGCAGGACACTCAGGCCAAGGCTTCTTGAGAACCCAGCCCTCGGGAGGGTCCTCAGCCCCATTTTAGCTTTTACACACAGCGCCAGGAGTCCCTGGGCCCTGTACTCAGCCTTGAGAGAGAAGCCCCAGAGCAAGGAGCCGGTGAGGAGGGCCCTCTTGTGCTGTTGGCCCGGTCTGACCTCACAGCCCCCAGGGGAAGGCCCTCCCGTTTGAGGGGCAGGACAGCCAAGGTCACCGGGGCAGGGAGCGGCCAGGCCGGGGCCTTGTTCCCCAGAAGGGCGGGCGCTCACTCACCACGAGCTGCGGCACAGGCAGCGACCTGCCCTCCTGGCTCAGGGACACGTAGGTGAAGAAGGCACTGGCCGCCCGGTACCGCTTCTGCGAGTTGTCCACCACGGGGTCGGCGTCCACCAGGACCTCGATCTCCATGGACTTGTTGCTCGTGAAGGTCATGCGGCCAGAGATGGTGATGACACAGCCTGCGGAGCACGCGCAGCCGGTTAGCGGGGCACGAGGGAGGGGCGGGGAAGGGCACAGGCAGCAGCGTCCCGGAGAGCGTTAGAGACACCAGGTTAGGCAGCATCTAACAACTACGGGACGTGGAAATGGCGAGCTCTCGCCACGCCTCGTTACGGCGCCTGAAGGCTCACCTGCCTCGGGAGCAGGTGTTTGCTTTCAGCGTTCACGTGGTCACTCGGAGTGGTGGCCGTCACCGGCCCTGCCTCCTGGGAGAGGCGGCCCCCAGCCCGCTTTCAGGCGGCCGCAGGGCGGGCTGGCTCCGTCCCTCTGAAATCACGTTAAGGCCACACCAGCCCCCACGGTCCACCCTGTGACCTTACTTGTGCCCGGTGCCTTCCCCGCTCCCTGGCTGTTCCTGATGCTGGTCTGACGCTTGGGCACCAGGCGGGGCTGGGGGTCCCGCTGACCGTGGTCCCACGTCCCCCGGGGCCACTGCGTGCACTTCAGCCCACATCCTCCCACCCTTGTGTCCTATGAGACTGCGTCTGTGCCGTCAGGCTCTCTGTCTCTGCAGCGGCTTGCTCACGGGACCAGAGCTGTCCTGGGAGCTGCCCCGCCACACAGCCGAGGCCCTGACCTTGGTCGAGCCCCCAGGTGCTCACCACCTGCCTAGACTGGCATGATTCCCTTGTTGACCACGATTCAGAGTCCTACATTCCCACACCACTGTCCCAGCTGTCCCTCCCCCTCTCAACCTCAACCCAACCCCCCTGTCCTCCCCGTGGCCCTTGGGTCAGGACTACCCACCCTGGAAGCTGCTTCCCAACCTAGAGCCCCCCCCACCCCCGGGCTCACGGGCTCTCGTCTGCCAGCCAGCCTTGGCGCTTCCTTGCCTTGCTGCCTTTATGTCACGGAGCCCAGTGTTTTCCTATACAGACTGGACTTGCCTCCCAGGGTGACCACGGGGAAGACACAAGATGAGCCAGGTGCTAGCACGGGGCCCACTGGAGGAAGGCGCTCAGCACGGTCATTATCGTCACCCATGGGTTGGTTCCGGACCACAAGGCAGCACCGAGCCTCAGGACTTCCGGGGTGAGGGGCTGACACCCGGCTGCACCCCCAACAACGAGTGGCCAGAATGGCTCCCCCAGCCCCGTCCGCAGCATGGCCTCATTCCAGGCTGGGTTCAAGGCCATCCCTGTCCAAGCCTGGCACACGATGCTGAGTCCCACTCCCCGGAACCAGGGCTGGCTGTGGGGACCTTTTAACAATCCTGGGAACCCTGACGTCCCAGCTCCAAGGACACAGGCACAAGACACGTTTAAAGACCCAGGAGGACAGAAAGTCAAGACAGCATGGGGACTGTTAGGGGTGAGTGTGTGGGCAGGCCAGAAGCAGGGGTGGTTATTCCATGTTACAGAGTTCCAGAACGTTCCATGCCACATTCAATTTCATACTTACAGGGAGTGCTTCAAGTCCTGCACAGCCACTTCCAGGAGGGAAGGCCACGCGGTCAGTGCCGGGGGCATTATGGGAGCTCTATGAGGACAGAGTCACGTACAAAGCACCCAGCACACATGAGTGTGTCCCGAGTCCTGCTGCCCCGTGAGACTCTGCCTCCGTGACCCACAGGAGCAGCCCCTCACGGGCTCACCAGCCTCTGCCGGAGTTATTATAAGCGGCTCGGCACCCGGGGCAGGATGAGGATGCGCAAACCCATCTCCCTGCGTCCTTCCCATCATTGTGTCTCCTCTACCCCCGGAGAACCTGTGATGGCCACGGGGGCTCTCCTAGAGGACGAGATCACATCAATGCTGCTTCTGGTTCAGCGGGTCAGGACACCCCTGAAGTGCTCTGTGGTCCCCAAGTTGAAGGCTCCATTTGGAATGACCCCGTGGGCACACCTACGTTTGGAAGCGAGGTCACACCCCACGTGTGAGGATGCCTCGCCGGAAGGCAGCACAGGCCCGGCCATCCTAGTCATCCCACCCAGCCGGGCGGCGGGACGGCTGATGAGAGAACGAGCGGCTTCGGGCTCCACCTGCTCACGGCCTGTGACCACCGCTCCGATCTCACAAGCCCGGGGGTGAGCAGGGGCAGGTGCTCACCGCCCAGAGGGTGGTGAGGACAGCGGCCAACACATGCGCGGTTCCAGTGGACAGAACCTGCTCCAAGGCTCGGCTGGGGCTGGCTCCCCCTTCCTGCCACTTCCTTGAGGCTCGGGCGGTGATTTCTCCGGGGACTAAAGCCTAAACCAGATGCCAGCAGGCCCCTTCCCCACGCAGGGATGGGGCAAGGCCGTCAACATGGCTCACCGGGGAGCATAGGGCTTGGACACAAGGCCAGAGGCAGGATGCCCAGATATCTCATGGGGATGGGGTGTCAGGCTCCTTCCCACAAAGTCTGGCTCATTCCACCCCAGGTATAGGGGCAGAACCACAGGAAGGGCGTGCCAGGCCTACCCCAACCCTCGCCTGGGACACTGGGACGTCACGTGAGACAGGGAAGGACCGCAGCCAGGACCGTTCACTTCCATTTCCCTGAGGAACTGCAGGCGGGGGAACAGGAACTGCGGGGCACAGTCCCCTTTGTGGGGGACAGAGGAGGCAGAGCGGTCCAAAGTGCTGAGACACTGCCTGGGGACTTTCCCACTAGGTCACATGTCCAAATCCACTCAGAGGACCAGGCATGACCAGTTTAAGGGGGGAAAATGGCCCCTGTCATCGGCGCTAGGAGCCACAAGCCCGCCAGGACAGGCTCCGGGTGTCAGGCCACCCTTCCGGCCAGGGGTGGTGGGGGAGTTCAGGAGGGGGCACCAGTTCTCTGAGGTGCTAAAGTGGGAACAGACAGCCATTCCCCACCGAGTGTCTCCATGAAAGGCAGGCTCTTGGAGCGGCCCCGAGATGGCCCGCAGCCCGGGCTACAGGGCTCTGAGGAGGACCTCGGGTTCCGCAGGTTCCGGGGCGCACTGGGCAGGTGGCCAGCCAGGACCCACACTGGGCTTTGGCTTCCTCACCTGCAAATAGGCACAGGAAGTAGCTCAGGGATGTTGTGAGGAACGGTGAGCCTCCAAATTTGGCCACATGGAGGTCACTCGCCCACATTAATTTTGTTACGTGGACGTGAAGTCCAGGACAGAAATTTCTGGTAAGGTCTGAGTGCCTTTCTGTTTAATAGCCCTCCAGGAAAAGCCCCCTTAAGCTAAGGGCAGACTGAGCCCACACAATGCTTTTGGGGGTCTCTGGGTGCAGAATTGCACCAACACGGTAATAAGTAACGTTTAAAGCAGATCATATTTTCCTTCTTCTGTAGCGAGCGTGTATACGCTGGCCAGGAGTCTGCTTCTAGTGCCGTCTACATGACTCAGAAGGGCTACAGCATGCACGAGGGAGACTTTATGTTTTCAGCTTGTGAGGAACACCGGGTAGCAAAGCATTAAAAACCTTGCCCTCTCTCCCTGGGTCCCAGGAGATCAGCACCTGTGCCAGATTGGACGCCGAGACGTGACCACAGCGGTCATGGTCCCCGCTCGGGGAGGCCAGGGCTGCAGCTCAGCTTGCCCAGCATGTGAGCGAGGTCTGAGAGGCCGGGACTCAGGACTCCAGGACCTAAGTACCCTCTGGACCCGACCCCCAGCGCTCACCACCCCGCGGCCTCGCTGTGAATCCCCCGGGGCCTAGAGGTGCTGGGTTCGAGCAGCTGAGGGGCTTCAGGCAGACTGAGCGGCGTCTCCTCGCCACGTCTCCCTGAAGCCCGCCAGGGTTAAGCTACTTCTTGCTCTCCTGTGCTCTCTGCGAGGGTCCTGTCTACAGAGCGTTAGGAGAAGACACAGGGCCGGGAGAAGGCAGCGCTCAGAACTGGTCTGGAGCGCTAGCTGCCTGTGTCGAGCGGAATTAACACACCACGACGGCAGGGGGAGCAACAGCTACCAGGGCTGTCCGTGTCCTAATCCCCTGCCCCTAGGGGTTTTGTGGCCTTGCGTGGCAAAGGCGCTTTACGATGTGGTTCTAAGGGGGCGACCAGCCTGGACTATCCAAGCGGGCCCAGCGTCGTCGCGAGGGTCAGAGAGACACCATCCCGCGACTCTGGAGACGGAGGAGGGCGCGCGAGCCGAGAGGGCAGGCGGCCTCTAGAAGGCGGGACAGGCGAGCAGGGATTCTTCCCTACGGTCTCCAGAACGGCCTCCGACTTCAGTCCAGTGAGACCCGGGTCAGACTTCCAACCTCCAGAACTGAGACAGCAAATCCGTGTCGTTTCCACCGTGAAGTTTCCGGTAAACTGTCACGGCAGCCCTAGAAAATCCACACACCCACGAGGGCTGCTGCAGCGGCGGGTGCCTTTGACGCGGTCCTGTGGGGGCTGCGGCCAACACTACCTCGTAAGTGACCGCAGAGTCGGGAGAACGCTACTTTCCAAACCTTTATGTGGGTTCGTCATATGTTTCTATCGCTTCATGGGACAGTCCCGTGTTTCAAGCAGGGACTCTATGACAGTATGAGGAATCTAGAAATTTGATGCAGCTCCAAGAACCAACAAACAAACCCCAAAGGCAACTGGGCCAGGGTCCCGGCCTGCCGGGTTTCCAGTGGGAAGGGTGGTCGGTGGTTCACTGTTCTATCAGGCCTGGAAATTAAAACTTGCAGTTCTCTTGCCACAAAGTATCCAACTGAGATGAAAGGAGGCTACTGTAGAGTCTGGTATCTTGTAAGCTCTGTCAGTATCCTGTCTGGGGGCTCCAACCGCTGGGCGCCTAACTGAATTTGGAGCTGGAGCTTCTGTCAAATTCCTCTTGTGAATTCCAGAAAAAAAGCAGAGCCCCGTGGGTACCAGCAAGAAGCCAAGAAGTAGGCCTGTCTAGTGAACGCCATCTGGAGCCCCGAGCTTGGAGCGGGGTGCCCTGCGGCCTCGTGGGACGGCTCTGTGCCCAGCGCTGCAGTGAGCTGGGTGGTGCTGGGACCCCACTGAAGGGGGCGCTGGGGCACTAGGCTTTGTGCTGAGTGTCCACAGGACCTCTAGGGTC